CTGCCTGCTTTTGTGCCTAAGATGAGACTAGCATTCAGAGTCTCCTGATTTCTAGCCTGATGCTAGTCAAACTGGCTCTCATTGCCACATTGGTCCTACTTAATTTGGCTACCAGCTTGTGTACTTGCTTGCCACTTGTTATTTGAAGGTGGGAATTAAAACCAATTAGTTTCAGTATAAAAATGTATAGCAAATGCATCATTGCAGTAGTTGGTGAGAGACATGAACTTCCTTCTCTTTAGTAGGGCAAACTAATTAAGACAGGGAAAACTGTCCTCGTTCGTAATTGTTGGGAGCATGCAAGGGGGCTTCTGTCCAGGCAAAAAGAAAAAGCAAGCACTTTCATAGTGCTGACTGGGATTCCTTCTGACTTCAGCTGATTAGTTCTAACAGGAATAGGCCATAACTTTAGCCAGATCCTGAATCTAGTTGGACTGCTCTGGACTAAAGCTATGACTCATGGGATTAAAAGGAATCCCTATGGAGCAATTTCTAACAATGAATCTTCAGAGACGGGCAGAAAGGCAAGTATTATATATGTAGGGACTATATACCGGTAGTTCCATTTCTGGAAAAAAAAATGCCAACATGGGGAGGGAGAAGGTCAAGTCTACCTTCTGATCATAGGGCCTCTCCAATACTAATGTTTCTGAGAAATGCTCATTCCAAAATAAAGAATACTGAATGGTTATTGTAATACATTGGTTAATTATAGTCATAAGAAAGCACTGAAAAATGTTAGGTGACAAATAAAAATATTTGCTTAAGCAATGTACTTTAGAGTAAATGCTATTCAACTCCATCCAAAAAGAATCCCTTTATTTCCAAAGCAGTTATGTAATGTCCATGATTTTTTTATTAATTTTGCACACTAATTTCTGTATTTATTGCTTGAGATTTGTAAAGATTCTTTTACAAAACACCTTGCATCTGTCTGCCTAAAACTTGGTAGGATTATCCTCATAAAAGGAAAGTGCTTTTAAACATTGCCTCATTATGTCCAGAAGCAACCTAATTACAGCTAACCCCCTTCCTTCTTTGTAGAATTTAAAGGAATCTGATTCCCTCAAAAGTGTTAAATATATTTGCAGATTGCGTCAATATTTTTGAAAAAAGTGAAAAAGTGCAGCTGTTTTTTTCCCATGCTGTTCAATGGAATTGCAAAAGTTGTTGTAAGTGGAATTGTGTTTTCTCCGATTCAGTTCAAATTATGAATAGACAATCCATTTTATAGAGAGTACCAAATTGTACTCAGAACCAAGCTTTGTGTTCACACACATACACACAAATGCCCTAGATTCTAGCCTTTTCCCTTTCTTGCTTTCTTCTGCTTACTTCCTCTTGCAGAGTTGAACCGAGTTTTTGGAACTGAGTGAGATACAATATAATTTTGGGTAAATTGCAAAGTAGACTCTGAAATTATGTTGTTTTGTATTTAAACTGTGAGACTGATCAGTTGGTTAAATGTCCACAGCATGACATGATCATTTGTTTTCCGTCAATACTGCAGTGCATATTGCATACTTGATTAAGTTCCCCAATTAAATAATAGTAGAAGAAAACATCAGATTGATTTTACTTGACTATTCCTGCTACCTGCTAAATGCCAACCACATCTGAGCTACTGCTGAATCACTAGAATGGATGTCACCATAGCAAACTGAGCCCTTAGCATATAACGTGTTTCTGTGCAATGTGGTACGTGCTTATATGTGTGCAAAGCACATTTTTGTTTAATATGCCAAAATAAACACAGAATGAACCACATGTGATATGACTGAGTGAAGCATGCCTGATGTATCCTTACTTGTTTTGAATGTATAACAGAGAAGTCTCAGGCAGGAAAAACAATGTGGGGAAAAGTTATAGGTTCAGTTTGCAAATAATCTTTTTTTGTTTGGCAATCATAGACTGTTTCTGCCTGGAGAGCAACTTTTTGTTCATTTTTCTATCTTTGCCTTTTTTTCTTGAGTAAAAAAATTAAAGATGAATAAGATGAGGGAATAGAAGGGAAACTCATCAGGTTTGTAGATGACACTAAGCTGTCAGGAATAGCCAATACCCCAGAAGAAAAGATCAGGATCCAAAAAGATTTGACAGACTTGAATACTGGGTCCTATCCAACAAAATGAAATTTAATGTGGAGAAAAGCAAAGTTTTATACCTGGGCAGGAAAAACCCAAGGTACAAGTACAGATTAGGCAAAACCTGGCTCAAAAACAGTAAATGTGAGAGAGACCTTGGAGTCCTAGTGGATTACTTAAACATGGGTCAGCAATGTGTAGCGACAGCCAAAAAAGCTAATACAATCTTTGGTTGTATAAACAGAGGCATAGAATCAAAATCACATGTATTAGTACCACTTTATAAAGCCTTAGTAAGGCCACACCTGGAATACTGCATCCAGTTTTAGTCACATTACAAAAAAGATGTTGAGACTTTGGAAAAAGTACAAAGAAGAGCAATTAAGATGACTAAAGGCCTGGAGACTAAAACAAGTGAAGAACGATTGCAGGATTTGGATTTGTCTAGTCTATAGAAAAGAAGGACTACAGGGGACATGATAGCAGTATTCCAGTATTGAGAGGCTGCCACAAAGAGGAGGGGGTCAATTTATTATCCAAAGCACCAGAGGGCAGGACAAGAAACAATGGATGGAAACTAATCAAGGAGAGAGACAACCTGGAACTAAGGAGAAACTTCCTAACAGTGAGGACAATTAACCAGCGAAACAGCTTGCCTTCAGATGTTGTGGGTGCTTCATCACTGCAGATTTTTAAGAAAAGACTGGACAGTCACTTGTCTGAAATGGTATAGGGTCTCCTGCTTGAGCATAGGGCTGGACTAGAAGACCTCCAAGGTCCCTTCCAGCTCTATTCTGATTCTGATTCTGAAGATATAAAAAGAATGGTTCTTTTCCTTAGACTAAACTTGCTTCACCTGAAAAACCGATGTAGAGGATTTAGCTACTTTTTTGACCTGGTTAACTCAAGCTAAATTAAGCACTGCTTCTTTTAACAAAATCAGATAAATGTGATAGACGTTTGTGAAATTTCATCTGTTAATTTTTCCAATTTTCAGTGCTACCAAATCAAATATTGTACAATAGCATTTACAATTTTTCTTGCATATGCTTACCACATTTTAAAGTATTTTCATGAAATCTGCATAATTTAAATCAGTCTACCATTGATGCATATGATTCTGCAGTTAAGAAGATCATCTCATGGTTTATCAACTTCTACCATCCCTTCACTCAAGTGTCTATAGATCTGTGGGAGAATGATGTGTGTTGATGCTTTTAGGAGGTAATATAGACTAACATATAAATGTGGGTGCCTGTTTGCTATGCTTCTGGGAAGTTCAAATATGAATGAGCCCCCACCCCATTTAAAAGATCAGCTTTTCCTCTTACCTGCCAGACTTCACCCAGACAATGCTTGAACTAGAAGGTTAACAGAAGGATTTGGGGACATACTGTAGCTCTTTATAAGAGGTTTATTGCAAAAATTTTAAAAGCCATTTATAGCACATTCAATGTTCAAGTCTTTTTCTTTTGCCTGTGGGTTATGGCAGGATATGAATTAAATCATATTCTTTGGGAGGGTAGCTCCTCTGTGTTATGATGGTAACAGGAAACCTGTTTTTCTCTTCTAATTCTTGCCATGGAATTAAGACATGGTGTCCTCAGATTGGGATTATCAGAAATAGTGTGGCTCACAGCTGGCAGAAAGATGGGAGGCAATTGCAAAATCAGATTTCTTCTTTTGTCCAATGCTTAGGTAGGTCATAGAACTGGATAGAAGGAGTCAAATTATTATTAAAAAGAGCAAGGAAAACATTTGCATTTAACTTTTATAGTCTTCCATTCATAATCACAGATTACCTTTGTAGTTTCCAGTGATAAGGAGAGTGCCATTCTGTTTTAAATATGATAATGTCAGTGTCTTTTGGTGAATGTATATGAACCAAGGTCAATCACAGCTATTACAATACTGTAATACATGAGGCAAGAAATGTGTTAATTAACTCATCCACTACAGATGGTGTTCAGCATCCAAAATCATTAAACAGTCTTTGTGACACTAGAAAGGATAAATGTTATGGGTCAAGTGTTAGCATCTAGCACTTGTATCGATAAAGAGCAATCAAGTTAAAATCTTTGTCTGCTTTGGCAGCAACTTTTCTTTGTGTTTATGTGTTCTTTGTTTTTATGGGTAAATGAAGGACAAGAATGTCAATGACAGCAATGCTGTAGAGCTGAAGTACAAAAACTGAGCCATATGAGACTGTGTTAATATTCACACAGCAGTCAGACTCCTCAATTTTAGCAGTCAAATAAGGTTTGAAAATACAGATCTAATGGGATCAATCCAGAAGAGAAAGGACTTGCACTCGGTTCTTGAACGCAGGCTTGTTAACTTCCAGTGTCCTAATCAAGTGAACCACCCATCTCCTAATTCACTGAACTATAAGAGGAGAAGACAGTATAGCACAATCAGATGAGCAAGATTCTGTTATTATAAGCAGTCTCAATAAAAGTAAAGTGAGCCTTCCTGTGGAGATGATTTCTTGACCTGGTCTACTTAGTGGCGCTCACAAGAAAGTCAATTCTGACTGGAGAAAATGGTGCCCTAGGGGAAGGGGACCCAACCCATATTGGGCATTATAGAGTTTCTCCATTAAGTGTTTTCATGTAAAGCTTTCTTTTTTTGTTAAGTATTTTCAAACTATATGGTGGTCTGCCTTTTTATTCATCTAGTCCCTTTTTATTCTCCAAAGCTTGCATGATGGCTGTTTGTGTTTCTAATAACAAAAATTCCAGAACAATGTGATAAAAACTTTACCACTCCTTTTTTGCTGTTGTTGCGTTATTTAGAATGTAGCAAAACTAACTGCACAATTTCATAAATTTACATGTATTTCTAAAATTTAATTTGAAAGTATGCACACTGTCTTATTCCTGTGATTCAGCATTCTTCTTGGGTTCTGATTTGCAGAACCCCCCTGATTGCTGCCGGAGTGATTGGAGGACTCTTCATTATCGTCATTTTGGGCCTTACATTTGCAGTTTACGTGAGACGTAAGAGCATTAAAAAAAAGAGGGCTTTACGAAGGTTCCTGGAGACCGAGGTAAAGATTTACCCCTTTTCTTTCCTGCAAATATATGCCAGATGCACTGCTGTTTTTTCTTTGACTTGATTATTTCAATCTCCTATGCATATGTATGTGTATGTGTATAGATATTTTTAAGAATTTTTTTTTGGTTCCAAATATCTGTGAAGAAACTAAGGCTTTTACTACAGAGCAGTTACAGCACATTAAGGAATCCCTTCTGCTTTTGATACCTGGATATTATGTAAACAGAGCATGACAATAAGTTATTTGTTGCAGTTTTCAATTCCTTTAGTCCACTTACATCCTCAAAAGGTAGGAATGTGCTAATTTCAGAAGTAATTTTAGATTTATCCAGAAAGTAAAAACTAGTATGGACAACATACATACAAACAAATTGATTCATTGCTAATATATTTAATCAGTCTATATTTTATTTATTTTTTATTCATGTATATTTATTTAGATTTATCTATCAGAAAGGTCAATGGATTTTAGGTGGCATATGAAATAAAAATATTAAAAATGCAATATAAAACCACATACACAAATATATTACAACCTTTTAAAGTGAAAAACGTTTAGGTCACCAATACTTGCAACTTAATTTAAAACAAAATTTAAGGCCAGAAATGTCAGTTGTCAAGATCATAAACTTGGTGGGGAGGGAGGAGTCCCTCAATACTGAACATTATCTCATTTAGAGCAATGGGGGAAAATATCATTTGCTCAATCTTCCCAAAACGTTGGGGCTAATTGTAGAGTTTGACCTCTACATTTTTTTACAATGTCCCATTTTACAGTGTCCCATTTTTACAATGCTATTCCCTGGAAACCAGAATAGAAAATGATCCTATTGTGGAAGAGAATGGCCTTGGGAATGCATTTGCCACATGGGTTCTGCTGCAAAAAGATGTGTGGCTGGCAAGATTGTGGTAGCTTTATGTAAATCATAAATTGGCTATTACCACTACTTCTAAAATAAACATGGAAAGGATTTATACCACAAAAACAGTATTTCAGATTTTGTATATCATCTATATACAATGTTGTTCCTCCTTGCATTTCTATTTAAACTTTGACACTTTCATTCTAGTACTTGAAAGTTAATTAAGGGAAGTGGTGTGTAAAAATTATTGTGTCAGGTTTACATCCATAGCCTTTTCTCTTTGTTATTTGTTTTTGTTCTCAACTAATAATGTAATTCCCTGCTCCCCATAATTTTGCCTGCACAGCAAAGACTGTACTCAACTAATTAAGTCATCTACAATGTTCATAGAGGCGTGATAATGATGCTCAAAAGGCAGCACATGGGGCAGTTAGCCCTGCAAACAGACTCTTTGAAACACTGCAGTGGCTTTTTAATCCAATTTGAGCAGGAGTAGTCTTTAATTATTTTCCTTATCCTGAGAAAAGACAGGCTATTTGTCAGTGTTTAGAGGCCAGTCTTGTTCCATTTATTTTTTAGAGAAAATATATTTCCAATCAAAAGCTGGGGAGCATTCTAATCAAGTGACGTTTTCTGACTAAGTTCCATTTCCTTGAGTTGTTGGGTAAGAGTACTATGAATCCGAGCTCCATTCTTGCTTGCTACTACTGGCACAATGCAGGAAATCTCAGTTTAGCAGTGAACTACTTTCCCACTACCACAAAAAGGAAATCTTTGCTTGTGACATTTTTTAATTATTATTTTCAAAATAGAACAACTAGTTGAATTTCATTTTAATATGTGCTTGTTTTTATGGCATTGTTTTATTGACTTACAGTATTTATTAAATTGTATTTACAATGGTAAGTCTAATGGGATAGATATCAATGGTTTTATAAATAAAATATTTGTATAATATATAAAATGGCATAATAGCAATTAATGTACTTTAGCAATGTTTGGCGTTTATATGAGTTTAAACAAAGATCTCAAGATGACTTAATGTATAAATTACATATTTTTTAACCAAGTGATATACCTCAATGATCTCAGTAAAAAGACTGAACAGAGAAATATAAAATTCAGCATTAGACATGTATTAGAAAAGACTAAAGATAAAAAAGGTGTCAACTATCCCAACCTGGTCAGTTAGAAAGCAAGACTCTTAGGCCCATGGCTAGCCAAAGGCTTACTTTACTAAAGTCAAGCAGTTACAGAAGAAGTGAAGGTGGATCTGAGGGCTTCCTGCCCAAAGTAAATGGTTAACCTTTCCGTGTCCCCTTTCACCACCACTCCCCCACTCCCCCAGATTATCAAGAAGTGTCCAATTAGGTGCTAACAGATTGTTTTGGGAAACAGTCCCTGTCTTCGCAGCTGGCATTCCTTTCTTGTCCTTGAAGTAGCTGGAGTTTTGCATGGGATGGTCAGAGGCTTGGTTTCGTTTCCTCATGGCATCCCCTGGCAACCCTCTCATTCCACCTGCAGTTCTCCCCCCCCCTCCATTTTTATGGCAGGCTGCCAGTGGCAAGCACGTTGCAGCATCTCCAAGCCTATGTGATAAATCCTATGTTCTATGTTCTAAATGATTTTGGTAAGTTTTCTATTGCAAACAGTGAAAATTGCTTGATGCAATTTTAGTCAAATCACCCCAGTGAAGCAGATTTATAAATAACACAATGTTCAGCAAACTGGATTGATGCCAAAATGACCTGCAATGCTAAGTATGTAATAACACAATTGTGCAAATATTGCCATTACATTTTGAGTCCTGATACAAATATATAACTTGCAGCACTGTGTTATGACATAGAACATAGAATAATAGAGTTGGAAGGGACCTTGGAAGTCTTCTAGTCCAACACCCTGGTCGAGCAGGAGACTTTATACCATTCTGGACAAATGATTGTCCAATCTCTTTTTGAAAGACAAGGCATTCCATTAATTAATTGTTCTCACTGTCAGGAAATTTGTCTATTTCTAGGTTGGATCTCTCTTTAATGATCCTCCACCTGTTACTTCTTGTCCTGCACTCAGATGTTTTGGAGAAGAGGTCGACCCTCCTTTCTGTGATAGTCCCACAAGTACTAGTCATTCTGTTTGTTAGACTAGACATATCTAGTTCCCTCAACCATTCACCATCCAGAGCCCTTATCCTTTTTGTTGCTCTTCTCTGTACTCTTTCTAGAGTCTCAGCATCTTTTTTATATCATGTTGACCAGAACTGGATGCAGTATTCCAAGTGTGGTTCCACCAAGCAATATAAAGCTGTACTGTCACTTCACATGATCTTAATATTATAACTCTGTTGATGCAGCCTAGGATTACAGTGGTGTTTTGGGGGGCAGCTGCTGGCTCATATTTAAGTGGTGGTCCACTAGGACCTCTAGATTCCTCTGACTGTTACTATTGAGCCAGGTGCTACTTATTCTATACCTGTGCATTTGACTTTTCTTGCATATGTGTAAGATCTTACTTTTATCACCACTGAATTACATTTTGTTCTCTAAAGCCCACTATTGGATCCTTCTGAGTCTTAAGTCTGTCTTCCAAAGTATTAGCTATTTCTCCCAGCTTGGTGTCATTTGCAAAATTGATGAGTGTCTCTTCTATAGCCTCATCTAGATCATCTATACAGTATATATGGTAAAAAGTATTAGGACCAAGACAGAATCTTGAGGTATCCCACTGCATGCTTCCTTCCATGTAGATGTAGTTCCATTGAGGACTCCTTGCTGGGTGTGGTTGATCAATCAATTGAGAATCCATCTGGTGGTGGTAGTGTCTAACCCACATTGTTCTGCCTTACTGAGAAGTAGGCTGTGGTCTACTTTGTCAATGTAGACCAAGAGGTCTGAGTATGCTATGTCCACAGTGTTTCCCTGATCCATTAATTTAGTCACTTTGTCAAAGAAGGCATAAGGTTTGTCTGGAATCTTTTAAAGAAACCCATGCTTGCTTCTAGTAATCGCATTGCCTGTTTCTAAGTACTCACATATCCATTGCTTTTCCAGGATTTTCCCAGGTGTTGATGTTAGACTGATTGATATGTTGATCCACCTTTTTATTGTTTTTGAAGACTGGAACCACATCAGCTCTTTTCTAGTCCTCTGGTAGTTCCCCTATGCTCCAGGAGTTCTAAAGGATTTCATTCAGGATTCATTCATTCATTCAAGATTTCATTAAATCATATTTGCCAGTTCCTTCAAAACTGTGGGATGTAATCCATCTGGTCCTGGCAATTTGAGTGGATAGTTGTTCTGTGACCATTTTCTTGTCTATTTTGACATGCATTCCTGTTTTGTCTCCTATGGTGCTGCTTTTGATAGGTTGGACTATTTTTTCCTTTTGAAGACAGATACAAAAAATGAATTCAGTAGTTCCACTTTCTCCCTACTACTTGTCATCTCTTTGCCAATATATATTGAAAGGAACTTTTTTAAAAATCATTTTTGGCTTTTGTTGCAAGTCTTAGTTCATTCTGAGCCTTAGCTTTCCTGGCTCATTTCTTGCAGATATGGGCTATTTGCTGATATTCTATTTTAGTTATGTATACCTTTTTCCATTTTTTATATTTATCCTCTCATTTTGTCGGAGAGTTCTTTATGCAACCATACTGGTTTCATGTGAGGTCTCTTGTTTTCTTTATCTGTAGTATTATGTTAGACTGGGCTTTTATACTCATTTTTCAGAGTTTCCCAAGTATCTTAAGTTGTTTTCCCCTTTAGGACTTCCATCCATATAATTCATCCTAAACTGTCTCTTAGTTATATGTCAGCTCTTTTGAAGTCTAAGATACTAGTTTGACCTTGTTCAATAACTTGTGCTTGCATTATGCTGAATTCCAGCATGACATGATCACTCTCCCCCAAAGTTCCCACAATTTCAGCTCCATCTATAATTTCATCTCTATTACTAATTGCTGTATAGCTGACCCTCTAGTTCCTTTCTCTACCTTTTGGATGACAATGTTGTCAGCTAGACTCATCAGGAACCCATTTGATCTTCCATTTGCTACAGAGTTTGTATCCCAGTTAAAGTCAAGGTAGTTGAAGTTCCCCAGTACTATTGTGGTATGTATATTTATATACAT